AGCTTCTCATCCCTGTCAGCGAGAAGCTGGGAGGGGGCACAGCCAGGACAGCTGACCCAAACTGGCCAAAGGGCTATTCCATACCATATGAGTCACGCTCAGTATATAAACTGGGGGGAGTTAGCCAGGGGAGGGGTGACTTCTGCTCGGGAACTGGCTGGGCATCGGTCGGCGGGTGGTGGGCAAATTGCATTGTGCATCACTTATTTTGCATGTTCCTTTTATCATTGTTGTTGGGGGTTTTTTTGGTTTTTTTTCCCCCTCCTCCTTCCTTTTCTGTCCTATTGAACTGCCTTTATCTCAACCTGGGAATTTTACTTTTTTTTCCCCGATACTCTCCCCCATCCCACTGGGGGGTGGGTGGAGTGAGCGAATTGCTGTGTGGTGTTTAGCTGCCTGCCAGGTTAAACCACAACATGTGGTGATAGCAGCTCCTTTCTCTGGGATTCTCAAAGCTTTTCAGAATAACTGATCTCCTAGTGGAGAACAAAAAGGTAGGTGTTGTTTTTGCACCATTCTTATGTTTGGGGAAATGGGAACAGAAAGCTTATCAGATATTTAGATGTCCTGAACTGCAAACAGGCACATCGATATCTTGATCTGTCTGGTCCATGATAGTTAAGTTTATCTAGAAAGACTAGCTCCTGCCGCTTCTTCTGCAGCTTGAGACTGCATACTGAGATGATCCAACTGCTCAGTATACCAAAAAAAAAAGCCTCATAGAAAGAGAATAGGTAGGAATAGAGAAGTAAGGGTTAGGGAGCTGAACTGGCTTACTGTGCAGGCAAGCACTGAGCTAGTGCAAAGGAAGAGAGTGGGATGTTTTGGTAGCATTTGGCCCTTTGATCACCTCCATCCTATTGCTAAGGTATAGCTTAATGTGGCTGCACTCTTATGTTAAGAACCATTTTATTTTCTTGACTCCCTCTCTGTGACCCAGGACAGGTCCTTCCTTCCCATTTCTGGCAAGTGTTTCAATTATCTGCTGTGTCTGTTGTGTTCTCTCATGTCTGGCTGAACAAGACGGGATTGATGAATGAATGTACAGCACTCACAGTGAGACCAGGTCTGGTGGCGGTGCTGGGAGAAAGTACTATGATATGACTAATCTTTAGATAACTGCATGCAAGTGGATAACATCTGAAAAAAATTTATTCTTCCATGTTTATTTTAAATCTCAGAAAAGGCAAATGCATGTCTCTCTCTTCTCTCTTGGCAGAACCAGCTCCTTGCGAAAGGCTTGCTGTTTATAGAGGAGAAGGTTAAGCTGTGTGAAGGCAAGTATAGTAAGAAACCCATTTTGGAAGGGAGTTGTGCTTTGAGGTTTGGTCAGACAAGATGATTTGCATGTCTGGAAAGTGTACAGCCCTTTCTGGTATTGGCTTAGGGTGTCACACAACCTCTCAGGAGGCAGGTTGCACTGCAGCCCTTGTGAGGCTTAAAGGATGGCACGCTGTTTGAACAGCCACGTAGCTGCAACACTCCCACCAGCCACGTCTTCATCGCGAGAGCAGGAACATGGGTCTTGTGTGGCAGTTGAACCTGGGCTCAAAGCATTTCTGGGCTGGACATGGATCCTGTTGCAAAACTGCTAAGAGCTGCATTCTGCCTTTTAGTTCTCAATGTGATTTGCAGCTCAGTGTAAGCACAATTTTGGTTACTGTGTCATGCTTTTGAGAACTGAACTAACAAGCTTTGTGTAAATTTAAAGAAAAAACAGTCACTTGAGTGGGAATGAAATCCTTCATGAAAGAAGTTGCTCACACGTGAAGTTCTGTTCAAACCACTGGGGTACAGATGCTTGCTATCGCAGAGCCTGTGGACGAAGGCCACCGTGGTGCAGCAACTCAGTGTTGGATGTGTGGGGAGTTAGTCACGTTTATTAACAGTTTGCTCAAGCAGAGTGAGCTGTCTAGAGCACGTCTTTATTCAAAACTAGGCTGCTGTTTGATTTGACCCATTTTTGTAGCCTGTAGGGAAGATCCTTGCTAATCACCAACCCACTGTATCTGGGTCATTAAATGCCAATAGACAATTATAATTATGCTTCATTGTTGGTGCTGGATTCCTCCACACCATTCTTCACCAAGTGACTTCACCCGGCCAGCAGGCTGTAGGATTTGGACCCTGAAGGAGTTGTGCAGTTGCCAGTCTCCGGCTTGGTGCGTGCTTCTTCGGCACTGGCCTGTAAGGGAGGAAAAAAGGCAGACTCATGCATTTTCCCGAACGTGGGTACCTGCCCTGCTGCTGCCAGCTCTTCAAAACGAGTGCTGCGCAGCTTATCATAGGTTTTGTTTTCTGTATTCATATAAAACTATTCCAATATCTGTTTTAGCATTATGACAATTGAGTTCCAGTCTGTAATAAGCTGAGAGCTGCTCAAGTAGTTTGGGCAAGATTAAGTTTCCCAGGCAGACAGCAAAACCCTCTTCCTATGCCTCATTTTTTTGTCCCTAGTTCGAAGTGACACTGGAGCCACTTTGCCTGTGCAGGCTGGCATCTGCAGGAGATGACTCATGGGCACCTTTCTTTCATAATGTGTAGGCTTGTTGCAGGTCTTGTCACAGCAACAAGAACTTCTTGTACCCGCTTCTCAGTTAGCTCTGTCTTCCTGGAAAATTTCTACTGTCCCAGTACTCAGAGACAGAATAATGTTCCTGCTGAAGGGCATGGCAATGTTTTACCGTGTCTGTTTTTCAAATCACAGCCTCTTATTTTAATGTGATTTTTCTTTATACAGTCTGTCAGAATCTCTTTCAATGCCTGTAGGATTTATGATTTCTTGAAGAAACAAACCATTCCCCCTTCCCCTTCAGAAGGAGAAGTGATCTATGACATTTCATTCTGGCTCCACACACCAAAGCATTGCAATCCTGGGGAGGAGGCAGAGGAGGGAAAAATTTAAACATTCAGTTAGGCTGTTTCCTGTTGTCTTTTTCACTTACAGTTGGCAGTTTCTGGTAATGGGTAGCTGTTATCGGGGTGTTGGGTAGGTGCTCGTCTGCCTGCAGTTCCAGTTTTGAAGCCAGCGTCGTACCTGACACTCCTGCGGTCGTCGGTGGGCTCTCTGCTCGAAAGGAAATGTCTGCAGGATTTGGTCCTGCTGTCTCTCTGCTCTCTGACGATGTCCTAAGCAGCACAACCCACGGGCAAGCACAGTGAAAGCCTGTGTGGAAGTCTCCAGATGGGGAAAGCACTTCAGTACACAGTGATAAGGCCCCTTTGAGTTGCAATTTTACGTGTGTTCCAGTTCCTCATGTAGGGCCTTTAGTCACTTTGAGGCTAAGCCTTCAAAGCTGTCTTGAGCAGCCATCTTCCATTACTGCTCCTTGACTCTTAACTGCTTGTGAGCTCCAGCTGAGGCTCTGTGGAAGGTATCCTGGAAAATTCTTTTGTCAGAAACTTGAGTTATTAAACCTGGGTCTGTATTTGCACCTGAAATTTCTGGGGAATGTATCTAAAACTTGAAAAAACATTGCAAACCTTTGGCCTTTGGGATGGGAAAAATCTCCTAAAAAACTTAGAGGCTTTGGGCCCAAATGCTCTGTAAGTCAAGCCTATGAGCATAATTTAAAATGTCTATTCAAACAATTATGTTCAGTAAAAGCATTTTGTGTTAATAATAGGCTTTTGACCACAGTTGTATTCCTGTTATGGGATGCACGACTTGCATAACTTAGTCTGCCTTCATTTTAAATACACACATTTGGGGATGTTTGTTCGAGTTGGAGTTGTATGAGGGGTGGCCACAAATGGATTTCATTCAGGAACCTTCCCAAGTGCCACGTTTGAGAGGAGCGCCGTGGCTTTGTGGCTCATCAGGGTCCTGACTGCTATGTCTGTGCTTGGGAGTGGGGGGATGCCAGAGGGGGCTCAGGTCTTGTAAGTGGTCTCCCTGACTCAGTTGCTGCAGAACAGCTGATGTTGGCTGTGACCTTCTGGTTTTCAGATTCAGCTGCTAACGTGCAACCGTGCTCCCACGCTGGTTGAGCATGCTAACTGTGAGCTGTGAGATTACACAATCCTTTGCTGTGGAGTTAAAGCCTCTGGTTGAAGAGGGGCTTCTTTTGTTGGAATTGGTCTCATGTTTTTCACAGAGCTGTCTTCTTTGCAGTAGGTGACAGAACAATTTATGGTCACAGCCTTGTGTCTCTGTCAGTTAAGGCGAAGCGTAGCTGAGTGATGTCCTGTTTTGGACAGAAACTGTGAATGTGAAGGGTGGGTTTGTATCTCTTATTTGGGGAATTAGAGGGTAGTGGGAAAATTCCACTTGATTTTAGCGTCCCTGTCACTAAAGCTCTTGCTCCCAATCTCTGTTTTTGTAGGTGAGGATCGCATTGATGTCCTGTCTGAAATCTGGGATCACTATTTTACAGAGACTCTTCCTACGCTCCAGGCAATATTCTACCCAGTCCAGGTAATCTTAATTATAATTCAGTCTTCAGTCAGGTGAGGCAATGTAACTGCAATGTCTGCTAACGGCACATGGAAACTTTTTTCTTCTGTTCCAGCAGCACTGTTTGGCCAGTAGCTAAACAGGTCTCAAACTTTAAGCTAAATCTGGGAGGAAATATAGTTTGCCCAAGTCAGCATTAACTGTGTAAGAAGGACTGCTAAAGTCTACTGGGCAAGCACAGTGTTTTGGGCTGAATTTATTCCCATCTGTCTACCCTCTGTCTGTGCTTAGCTAAGCTTGAACACTGAAACTATTGGACTATACCTCATCTAGACTGAAGCTCTGGGCCATTTGTATTTATAGTTCTTCCATTTTTAAATACCTGGGACTCTGTTGGTGCAGATGACAACACTGACAACTTGTCTTCAGAGGGACAAATCTCAAGATCAGGAGCAAATGTGTTTAACTCACCCTAACTACTTTTGGAGGGCTTATGTCCCAGTTGTGCCTTTGGAAAATCCTCTGTTGGGTTTTTTGAAGCTTTAATAAGGAGACAAGTAAATCTGTGGGTAGAGGATGAATGAACAACTTCATGTAAGTCCTGTTTACACTGGGTATTCTGAAAGCTGAGTATCCTATCAGAAGTGTTGAGTTGCATCATTTTTTAATGTAGTTTTAGTCAGGGTTTCCATACGAGCAGTCTAGTTACCTCCCCAGCCTATTTTGATATTCTCTTCCATCAGAGGAAAAGAAAAATGTACCTCATGAGGAGACTGACGTTTGTGGACATGCTATCCTTCTCCTCTTGACTTTTGCCTCTTCCACAAGACATGGCTTTCCAGAGCCTTTTAAAATTATTTTTCCCTTGTATTGTTTGAAAGGCAGCAGGTAAAGCTCAAAGGTTGAGCTTTTCCTCTAATCCTTTTCCCTTTTCCTCTAATCCTATTAAAGTTGGCATTTCCTAAAAGAGAAAGGACTTCTGTAAAGACAGACACTAACCTTTCTACTGTGTTTATTTTTATTCTTTCCTTGCTGCAGATGCTTAAAGGTAGGTGTTTGGCAGGTAAAACTGTGCAATCATAATATCCTCCCTTTCTCTCCTTTTGCAACTAATTCTCAGTCAGGGATTGACCTATCTATTTAAGCAGGGGTTTGTCTGCACTGCAGCTATCTGTGCACTGTGGAAACACCTGAGATAACTGTGTGTCATACCCACTGATGCTAATAATTCTGCCACTTATCAGAAAAATCTACTCCCCTGCTATTAAAAGTCTCTAATGAGAAACTGAAGAAAAGTTACTGCACAGTGGGTGCAGCTTTTGGAAGTAACTTGGTGGTAGTGGTGAAAGCGTGACTATGGGATGTTGATATTCTTTGAAAGCCTAACTTACTGTATTTGTCTTGTCACAATATCTGAGTCACTCAAAAATGTTTCATAGAAGCTGTGAAGTTAGGGGAGTATTGCCGTTTTACTGATGAGGAACTGAAAGGTAACAGCATATTTAAAACTTTGTAGGCACCTAAGTCCTACACAAATATATGGATTTAAACCACCTAAATACATCCAAGAATTTGACTCTGAGTAAGCTGCCCTAGGCTACAACAGAGAGAGTTGCTGGTGCAGCAAGAAATAAGAAATTGCTCTTTTTCCAGGCCAGTGCCCTAATAACAAGAGTGGGCTCTTCCTACAAATAGGGAACGGTATGTACCTATTTATACAGTGTGTTACCACATGTGAAGAGAGCTCATCTAGCAGATCTCTTTCACCAAGTCGCAGTTCTTCATGCGCTACTCTGGTAAATGGGAAAGTCAACTGTTGTTGGTTCCCCATCCTTTGCTGCAAATGTCAACATGATTATTTAGTTGTGCTCTTCTGTGATCCCAGCAACTGCCCATTCAAAATGAAAGTAAGTCAGCCAAATGTGTAAGCGTATGTTACCGAAGATAGTAACTAGAAGTAACTTCCTATCTCAGCTAAGTTTAAACCCGAGGCTCATAGCTGTTGCAGAAATATGACCTTTAAGCAGCCAAGTTGGTTAAATTGCTGTACAGAGGGAAACTATGTAAACAGGTCACTGGCTTTTGTATAGTTGCAGCTGTTGATGTAACTACTTGGTGTGGAAAAAGAATAGCAAATCTTGTTTTGTTTGGCACAGCAAAATGTTTGTGTTTTGAAATGGGGTATGAAGTTAACAGGACTAAACTGCATGAGGTAAATAGAAAGTGTGCAGCTGCTGAAATACAGTTCAGAGATATGTACCGGTCTTTTCTACGCCTCCACGTTTCTAAACATGCAGTGATGGTTTAAAACAGCAAAGTGCTTTTATTATGGCCGAGCTGCCCTCTAGACTATTTGCTTTAATTTGTATTTACATATTGATGATGCTGTTAATTATGACATTAAACCCACTATGAATTAATGATTAACTGCTGTTAATTCCTTCCAGCTAAGTATTTGCCATGTTGAGTGTGTTAGAGAGACCATAAAATGGTTCCCAAACAGACCATGGGGCACACATTAATGTGCTGGGAAGAACAAGGGAAACTGTTCAGGCTGCAAAGTGCTGGGCAGGGGTGGGAGGAAAATTTCTGCTGTTAAGCTGCAGTGGGGCAAGAGAAAGTCATGCAGACATTAAGCATAGCAGAGGGAAAGGCGGTAACACCAGAATGCCAAATGGAGTCCAACTGTGTTTAAATATGCTGAGAAATATTACAACATCTTCATCTGTTAAGCCTGCTCACTTGTGGTGTTGATGTTAAAAAGTAACTGGGAGGACACGGAGCACCTTGTGGTGGAAATCAAAGCTGTTGCTTTTTTAAATGATGTTTGGTACAAGCAGTCTCGCCAGCTTTGCTCTAGCCTAAATCCTAAAATCTGTAATGGACTGAATTGTGGATTTTTGTTGTATCAGCAAGGTCTAAAGTGCAGATGTTGAGCAAAAAGAGGATCCAACACAGACCAGAGGTAGGCTTAGTTAAGGAATACTCTGTACCAAGCTCTTTCCCTACCAAACCTTCTCGGGTTTCTCAGCTCTGAGTGGCAAAAGCATGAGCTGCATCCATCCTGGGCTTTGGATGTTTGCGACCAAATTGAATGTCAGTTGGGTTTCATGAATACATAGTCCTTTGGTGAAATACAGGCTCATTTTTGGCTTCGTTCCAAACCTAGTGGCGCCTCTGATGGGGTGTTACTCATTTCAGAATTTGTGTGGGACAGAGACTGAGAGGGAAGTGACCAAAGAGTACCATGAATCCTCCTCCTGGGCAGCTGGGGGGTGCTTTTCCACAGCAGCAACGGGCAGAATGGTCCCTTTCTGTCTGTGTGCATACATGTGTTGGTGCGATGCTCACATGTCCCTTTACCAACTCTTGGATTTTGCCTTCTGTGGTTTTTAGGGTCAGGAGTTGACTATCCGTCAGATTGCTCTTCTTGGCTTCAGAGACTTGGTCTTGCTAAAAGTAAAGTTGGAAGAAATTCTTCCTCTGGTCCAGACAAAGCTCCCAGCTTCCATTGTCCAGATGCTGTTAATTCTGCAGGTGGGGAACCTCTGCTCTTCTTCGTCTGACTCCACTTGGGTATCTCAACCTCATTGAACTAATACGAACCCTGGAAAGGAGAGTGGGGAGGGTAGAGAGTGTGACGACGGGGAAGTGATGTGTGCTTGAGCAGTAAATGTAGAAATGAGAGCTGAATTTGAGTGTTGTGAGCTTTCCTGGGAACAGGTAAGGATGTTGCCATGAAAGGGCAGGGTTCTGCTCTTCGGTGTTTGTATTCTTCTTGGTACCTCTCCTCCCTAGCTAGAAACAGTCTCAGGACTCTTTTTTCACATAAATTTTCATCTCCCAGCTTCTCTGAATGCCTCTTCATGCCCTAGTTCTCCCGGTTTCTCAGCTTTGCAATGACAGGGTGAGTCTCCATCACAGCGGATTGTGGAATTTGAATGAGCTGTGGCTGCTGGCTGCCCGACGCCAGCCCCTTGGCTGGCTGGGATGCTGAGCAGTGCCCATGAGAAGAGGAATACCTTTTGGCAGCAGGCAAAATGCTATCCGTCTTCCAAAGGCCTCTCCCAAGAGACCCAGACCTTCTGTGAGGACTATCCTCTTTATCCAGATCTCAAGAGAATATTTTGCAAGCATGCCAAATACAGCCAAGTATACCAGCTGATCTGTCTTTTTATATCGCCCAGCCTGACAGTCTTGCAAAACACCATATTACAGGTGGCTGTTTGGGTTCCTCTCACTTTTATTTCTTCTCCAATATATCTTGTAATGAGTGGCGGGAAATGAAACTTTCTGAAGTACAATCAAAATTGCAAAGTGGCTAAGCTGGTATTTCTGTATGAGTTCTTGCTGTTCTGATGTTCCCAGTGACCCAGGGTGTAACAGCAGGAGATACTAAAGTGCTAGCTCAATTTCCCTGAAATATTTTAATAAAAGAATCTTGAGGGCAAAGAGTGTCTCAAAGCAATGCATTTGGGAAAGAAAAGCTTTGCAGGAAGTTAAGTCTGTGAATGGTTTCTGAAATTACTGTTAAATTGGTTAGTGTTATCTACCATCTTCACAGCTGTAAGCTGAACTAGAGAGGGTGCTTTTCCTGCAGTCCTGACTAGGAAAAGAGCAGTGCTTTGCCCAAGGTGTGTTAAGGCTTTTCTACAAAGAGATGTTTCCTGGTAGAACTGCCCTGGTATAATTATATCGCTGTAGTTACACTATGTAAATCCTCAGTATGAGCGGACCTTGTACCTTCCTATCCCTTGGTCAGAAAAAAGACAGCTAGCTGCTCAATTTCCATAGTGTTATGGCTATGACTTGAACAAGGAGGTTGACCTGAGTGGCACCCGAACCTCCATTTGTGCTTATCAGCTGTGCTCCTCAAAATGGTCTACCGATATGGTTGGGATATTCCAGTGGAGAGATATTTGACAGACCCCAGGCTTTACTCAAAAACCTTACTGAAAACTATGTAAGGGTAATGTTGACTTTTAATGTTTGAATTTCAGAGTGTCCATGAGCCTACTGGCCCCAGTGAGGGCTACGTACAGCTGGAAGAACTGGTCAAGCAGGTGGTATCGCCGTACTTGGGTTTGTGTGAGGATCACAGCTTCTCTGGTAGCACCTGCTTGCTTGGTAAGACATACACATTGTACAGAAGCCCTTGTTGGGGTACACAGTTGGTTAATGTGAGGCAGCGCACATCTGTGCTAGAAAAGGAGACAGTGCACGACTCCGTGAGAGACAGAAAACAAAAGCTAAAACACCCTCAAGAAGCTCCTGATTAATATGTTTCCGAATGTAGATTTTTGTGACGGGCTTTTTATTTTCCATGCCCAAGTGAACTATTACTGCCCCACCACTGTGCACACACACATATGCAAAGTCTCCCCTCTCTCAGGAGATGGGCTGGATTTTAAAACTCCTTGGTTCATGCCTGACGTACTGCTCTCACCCCAGTGAGAGACTGCACCTGGTCCTTTGCTGCCTGCTGTCTGTCCCTGCTTGCTAGCCCACTTTGGCTGCCTGGATTCCCACGCTCACTGCTGCATCAGCCAGCCTTCGCAAACAGCAAAACTGTTGGATGCTCATCCTGAGGGATTACAGGGGTTTTTTTGCATGGAGTCTTCCTTCCATCTGAGGACTCTGTTTAAAAAAGAAATAATCTGTGTTTAAACTGTGGATAAATGGGTCTAGTTGAGAGAACTGGCATTTCACTTCAGGAAGGGGATGCTTATAGTGGAAAACTTGTCCACACATGATCCAGGAGCTCTGCTTACACGCATGGCCAGCCAGAAGAGATTGGCTAGCTAAGAAATGGGTGCAGTGATACTGATTTGATAGTCAAGAAGATTTAAATAGAACAAGTGAAGAAAGCTCCAGTCTCCCTGTTTTTATAAGCTTTAGCCTTTGCTTTGATGCAAGTTGTAGCAAGTTGGAGACACACAACCTGTCTTGTACTACACCTTAGCAGCACAGGGGAAAAGGTGGTCTTGCGGTAGAAAGACTTATCAGGACTCAAACGATCTGTGCCTGTAACAAACTCATGGCATCACTTTAGGCCCACTATGGCTCAGGGTTTTTGTTCTTGTGGATTTTGGGCAATTAAATATCTTTTATGCAAGTGAACATGGTTATACAGTTCAGACACTGATTTGCAGACCTGACCCTGAGGCTAAATCTAGACCACATTTCGCTGTAAAAGTTGAGCTTTGACAAATTTGATTGTTTTGCTGTTTATGGACATCTACACGCTGCTGGCATAGTTTGAAAGGTAGCTGCCTGACCTGTACTGAAGTTTCTAGCCATCCTGGATTTCTGCTAGCTGAACAAGGCATTAGTGTCATTAAAAAAAAATTTCACATGAACTGGCCTTGTAAATTTTATGTGCCTTAAAATCATTGTATTTACTTTGATTTTAGCTGTCATTTATTTGTGTGTATTTCCAAGATGGCCTTTTGCCCCTGCTCCACCCTGTGCTGAGCGGGAGGAAAGAACGAACTTGTGTTTGCATTACACGACATTGACAGCAGAGCAGCACTTTTCTGCAGATAACCTTGGTATTTTCAAAGTGCTGCTGTGATGGTGGTTTCTTTTCCTTAACTCCCACTTCTAATCACACTTCTCTTCCTCTCTCCCTCTTTTTGTTACCTTTTTGCTTTCTCAGAACCAGTTTCTTCTCTCACTGGGCAGCCTGTAATGACGATGAAGCCCAGTTAGGTTCCCTGTAGTAGCTTTTTGGAAATGTAGTGTTGGGCTTTGGGTACGCTTGCATTCTCAACAGATGCTGTGGAGGCCAAACTGCCCTCTGGACTGGAGCCTTCAAGACAAACAAGTGTTGAGAAATGCGACTGAAGGTGTCTGATCACAGCTGTGAATACACATAAGGCTTCAGCCTGCAAGGCTGCTGTATCTTAAACTTGATTTAAAACGACAGAGGAGCGCAACAGGGATAGGTGTGAAAGCAGACAGGACAGCTCACAGAGAGGATTCGTAGAGGGCAGCGTCCTCACCTGCTCTTCTCTTACCACCCTTCTTGCTTTGCTCATGTAAATTCGCCATAACCTGCATTGTAAGGATGGAGTATGCTGAAGGGACCCAGTTGTCTAAGATACAATGTTTAAACTGGAAACAGGGAAGAAGATAAAACATTCACCCTGTTCCCCCTATGTATTAAACCTAGCATCACTGCTGATTTGAGTTTACTTGCAAAAAATCCCTTAAGAACTCCTCCCAGTTTATGTTCCTGGCCATAATGCACCAAAATAGAAATAAAATTTCTAGTTAAACTATGCATGACAACCCCTTTAAGAGCCTGTCTTTTGTGGCCAAGAAAGTAAAGGGGGAAAAGTAAAGCAATGAATGAATGTTTAGCCTCATTTTAACCTGATTCTCATCATAAAGGATTTTAATTTTGTTGCACAAAAATAATCTGTGGATATTTTTTCCTCAAAAGAGCCAGGTCATCCCTCCCTTGAAGAGAATAAACATTGAGAAATTCCTCACTGTCCATCTCTCTCTTTCACTGCCTGGTCAGTCATATGTAACCCATTTCTACAGCTAACCTGCTCTTAAAAACTTCCACTGAGGGAAGCACCTCAACTCCTCTGTGCAGTTTCTTGCAGCCCTCACACTTGGCATTAGAAAGCATTGCTTAATGTCTTAAGAATGTCTTTGGTACTGTTGTGGGGAGAAAATAAGAGCAGAGACCTATCAGGTCTTAACTGAATTAGCAAATTCAGAAGTCAAAAGCCAGGCCTGTTTCCTTAGTCAAGGTGAAGACTGAGTAGCCTTAGTAGATGGTGACCAAACTGCCTTTCCCCTTCTTGTTACACAACACCTGGCCTCCTGTAACTGCCCAGGCAAGCCTTCCGAGTCCTAGCTCTTACAGCTACAACTTCAGGAAAAACGTTTGCTGTTGGGGGGGAGAATGAAGAATTCTTCTAACTTCTGCCGTTAAGCGCCATCAGCTCTGTCACATGTGCTTCCAACACACGTTTCACTGGAGTCCTACCCATTTTGCTGTGACAGCAGTATACTGGACCATTCCTGTGCTGCTGTGAAGCTGGATAATTCCTGTGGCTACATCAGATAAAATTTGAGCACTTTGTCCTTTAACCTCTTTGGTTTATTTCACACCACCACCACCTTCCTCCTCCCTCCTCTGTCCCAACTTCTATGAAATTTTATAGTCGGGGATTGACACAGATGAAGGTCTAGGTTATCAAAGGCACTCAGATACTTAAGTTGTTGGGTTTCCAAGTCCGCCAGGGAAGTGCTAGCGTTGTCCTTGTTGGTGGGTAAGACTGCCGTAAGAGGAGTTGGAGGGGAGTTTCGGTAATTTTCAAAACTGGCCTTTTCTGTCAATTGGTTAACTCTTCTGCTGTCTACTACAGTGTTTCACATTCAGCTGTATCTGAAGCACAGTGTCTGTTTGAGCAGCACCCTTATCTTCTCAAAAGATCACGGTGGCAAGAAGAGTATGGTGAAATGCTGCTATTTCTGGGACAGAAAGTAGCAGCATGACTGTAACAGAACAGAAGGAGGAGAAGAGTTAAAGTTCAGTTTCTCCAAACTAAAGTATGCACTGGGGATAAACTGCTATCGATTGCTTGCCTACTTAAAAAACATGCCATGCGAATGCTGACTAAATGTGGGTCTACTTTTAGCATAAATATGCTTACGCTGATAACCAGCTGCGTGGTTTAGGTGAACAGCAGCCGTGCTGCGGCAGCACAAGCCGCAGAACACAC